AATACGAATCACTGCCTAAATTGAACACCCAAATCTCCGTAATTGGATCATTGCCCCAAATAACACGGATTGCAACAGAATCAAATCACTGCCATATCAGACTCCCCAGATTTTGGGAAAGAAATCACTGCCTTTCTGATTGTTGATCTCTAAAATCAAATCAGATCAGTTTCAAAATATCACATAAGCACATAATTTGCATCCATGCCTATCGGGGGGTAGGGTTGCACTACCCTAATTTAGAAATGAGATCTGCGATTCACTAAATCATTCAAAGATGCAATAATACGATCCTAGAAAGGAGGGTATCCAGCCCTAGTTTGGAAGGTGCTAATGCTCTGTACAGTCGAAAGGTAAGTTCGGCCATAAAAAGGTATATCAGCTATTACTATCAATATACCACTCCATCCACAAGGGAATGATCAAACAGTACTAGCAGCACAATCAGATGCTTGCCTTGTTGGCATAACATAACCCACGAACAGTGTCCGGGATATTATGCAGCAACCCTGAGGATAAGTGAGTGGACCCAGTCAATTTTGTACTGTCGGATCTCGAAGTCATCGTCATCACCCATTGGGTGATAGTTACCCAACCAAGGCAATTTTGACGAATTTTAATGATTCCTACCAGAGTGATCAATCTAAACAATTGTCTTTCCATTATTTATTGTTTACCGAAAGGTGCCCTAAACCCAACAACCGCCACAATTCCTAACCCAAATTTAAGAAAATTAAAATAACAACATAAAAATAAAATAGATAAAAAAACTGAGTGTATGTGAATAACTATTAAGAAATATGATATGCTAGCACCTTCCTTTCTTTCTTTCTTTCTTTTGTGTCTGTGTAGTTAAATTTGTAAACCGAACATTTTCATTTTCCATTTAAAAAAACAAAAAAGTTTTAGTTTTATCTTGAGTATATTACACTTTCTGCTTCTATAATTTTAACCCAATTTCAGTTTGATCAATATTATTTTAGTTTTAATAATTTAGGCCCTATAATTTAAATTTGGTTTTAATTTTGTTTAAATTTCAGTTAATTTTTTCTACATATACATTTAAAGAGATTGACAAGTGTCCAAAAATCATTAATTTTAATCTTCAACTTAAATGAAAGAACCAAACTAAAACTAGAGTTAGGTATAGAAATCAAATTAACAACAAAAATTTTAGCAGCCAAAACTAGCTATATAGCGACTAAAACATTGTTTTGACGTTGAAAATAAATTTTTAGCGACCAAACTTTTCGTTGTCAAATGTCCGAAAGTAAATTTTTGCTTTTCATTCGGCGACTAAAAAAATTTTAGTAGTCAAAACTATACGTTTTTAAGTCACCAATTGCAGCATTTTTAGCGACTAAATTTTTTTTTAGTGGCCAATAATCAATATTTCCCGACTAAAAAAAATTAGTAGCTAAATATTGTACTTTTGCCGATTAAAAAAAATTTTGGTCACCAATTCCACAAGTTTTGGCAACTAGATTTTTTTTAGTCGCCAAAAGTACATTTTGTTGTAGTGATTGTTCAATTTGAAACAATAATAACTAAAGTAACATTTGAGTCAACTGCCGGTGTCAATTTTCTGAATAAGAAGCTATCTAAACAATATTAACAGGGTAGACATGGAGGATCTAACAGAAGTACAAAATTTCAATTGTCAATCAAATCAATTCTATTAAGGGCAGGTCGTATTGATGATCTAGAAAACTCGAAAGAAGCAACAAGCTTCAACACTCTCCAAGACAACAGGGCCATTTATTTGAGTATTTCAACTCTATTTCCGCATCCATCTTCCTTGAGTTCGTCTTGGACAAGTGTTTCACTAGTTACATTTATTAGTTGTGACTTGTATTGTTGTCATATGAACTTCTTACCCCAAGTCCTAGTTGGTAGAAATCTATTTGTTTATTGTTATTTCTATTTTTAATTATTTAGTTCTTTTTTGCAGGATCCATATTATCAGCAGTTGTTACATTCCATCAAAATTTTCAAAACACAAAGAGTGGTTAACAGCACCAACAGTTTACTTTCAGTGTAAAAGGGGAGAACAAGATTGTTTTGCCAGATGTAAAGAAAACTCGAGTCTCAGATTGTGTGCTGGTGTGTGTAATTTATACATATAGAGGTCTTGAATGAGAGTTGAAAGTGAATTTCACTAAGCAATATACCTTTATTACAGACAGAAGGGGATGGCATCAATTACAGAAACTGAATTGGAAATCGACGACACTGACGAATAGCAGTCGGAGAATCTCAGGCAGGTCCCTGTTATTCACCATAGGTTTGGGTTGTCCTCTTCAACAAGCAAGGCCAGTGACCAAAGATGCTTTCACAGAGCTTCATCTCATCCCAGTTGTAGCTATATGTGGTCTCGGCCCTTGCTGCGCCATAGTCATGACCATCTTCCTCGACCCAAGACCAAGGATTATAATCATAACCAGTCTGCAGCATTTCATTGTCATAACTGTCATAACCACCGTGATGTTCTTGAACTAGGTAAGGATCTTCTACCTTCTCAAACCCAGTGCCACATGAATTGCCGAAAGCATCAATACCGTAGCCATGAAAGAATTGATTCTCTCCCCAACAACCATCAAAGAATGACTCGTACGGTCCCAGCCAGCTGCTGGTACCAACATAATTAAGCAGTTTTTCTCCCTCATAAGCCTGATCAGTCAGTAAATACTCATTGATGCCTCTTCTGGTATGATAAAACTCTCCTTCCTCATCAGGCAAAGAAACAAGATCCGGAAAGAGTAAACTGAGGCAAGCAGGAGGGGGCTCTGCATAGGTGCTAGCATTATCATAATCACCATTATATGAAGTGGGATAGTACTCGGCAAATTTGGGCAAGTTGAACTCATAAATATATGAAGACATTACGGATCAAAAGTTGAGCTCGGTCTTTGTCACTGGTACTGCAACTTCCATAAAAATACTGGCATTGTTGAGTGGAGGGAAAAGGAGAAAGGAATGGCCAATGTTTTGTACTAATGGATCATTTAGTCAGTACAATGTACCATTGTCTATGTAGTAATTTGAGATCAAATCAATCTTTTGAGTGTCTATCAAATACCAAAGATGTGCAATTATTTCAGCTATCTGGAGGTCTTTCTTGAACAGAATCTCTTTTTTGGGATGAAAAAGGTGAGAAAAAGAATGGGCATCTTAGGCCACAGCAAGTGGCCCAAATAGTTGGGCAGAGCATCTTGTCTGGTTTTTCCATCTCTACAGAAAACACCGAAAGGAAGGTGGCCCTTCCCCCATTTGGTGCGCACCATAACCCTGTACGCACTGCCATCAAGTGTCCACAGTCAAAGCCAAGCGGAGCACTGCAGTTTGTTGTGATGGGCGGACCACCACCTTTATGGCCTGGATGCAATGTGCTCCAAGAGAGTGTTGCTACCTACCAAAATTCTTTTGGATCCTTCGCCTCGAGATTTTTATTTTTTTATTTTTTTTATAGTAATTCTGCGTACACCACAAAACTATCCCCTTACACCCTTAAAAAAGTAAAATTTTATTTTATTTTTGTACAATTTTTATAATACCATTTCTACCCTCATCCCTACCATTCACTCTTGTCCTTACATCCAAACCTTTCAAACCCTAGTTTCTTCACGGGAGGCTCTATTTACACACCACTTTCTCTCTCAAGGCAAACCACTTCTAAAGGCACACCAAAAATAATCTGTAAAAATAAATATTTTTCTCATCACACAGCACAAATTTATATATTTATCCTTACTCACACACCCACCCACAACAATATACACACAAAGTTCCATCTTTGCCCCCACACAGCCACACACCCCACACCCACGATATTCATCTCCCCCTCCATTCTCTATTCACACCGGTGAACACCATTGCTTAAAACACTCATCAAGACATCGTCGGTGGTGTTGCTCAACACTGTTCTGAAAAAAAAAAAAAAAAATTATAACTGTTCGGCAGTACAGAGTTGAATTAAATGAAAAAGTTCGACCGTAGTAATTTGAACAAATTGCACTTGTTCGATTGTAGTCTGTTGGACAGATATAAGTTGTTCGATTGTAGTATGTTGAACAAATGTAATTTGTTCGATTGTAGTCTGTTGAACAGATATAAGTTGTTTGATTGTAGTCTGTTGAACATATATAATTTGTTCGATTGTAGTTTGTCGAACAATGATATATCATTCACCTTTGGTTAACCGAACAACGATTTACTACTCATAAACGAAAACGAAGACGAAAACAAAAAAAAAAAAAACATTTTCATTGCTTCATTGTTCCGAATGAGAATTGTCAGATGCATCATTCATTGAATACAATCAAAATCTTCAATAATACTATATTTTTGATTATTTGTTGAAGGGTTTTTGATTTTGGTTTTAGGGTTTTTGGATTCTTGACAGAGAAGATACGTAAGGAACAAGTTTGAAATTGATGATTTATATTATATTGATTCTTGTCCTTTATGGTAAATACACAAATGAGGTGTATCATAACTTGCCCTTTATAGTCATTTCACTTAAGGTTAAAATTGTAATAAAAATAAATTAATTAATGGTTTGCCTTGAGAAGGAAAATGGTGCGTAAATAGAATGACCCCTAACTTATTTATACGAGACGAGGAAATCTGAGAGCAACTCCAACCACAATCACTATTTATATTTATACGAGACGAGGATATGAGCGCAACTCTAATCACACTCATTACTTTTCATTACTTAGGTGCCGTTTAGTAACACTTTCGTTTTCAGTTTTCAGTTTATATTTACAAAAATTTTAAAAACTCAAATAAAAACTTGTTTGGTAAAATTTTTGATTTATAAATCAGTGGTCTCAGTTTATAAATTTGGCCAAAAAATGAAAACACAAAAAATGTGTTTCCATTTTGAGTTTTCAGTTTTTTTTTTTTACCACCCAACACTAGCCACCACCCGCTACAATTTGCCACTACCGCCACCCACTCCCCACCACCACCTACCACCACCACGCACCACCCATCTGCCACCACTACCTACCACCCACCTGCCACCCACTCGCCACCACCATCCACCCACTCGCCACCACCATCCACCCATTGCCACCACCACCACCCACCACCCACCTGTCATCCACCCGCTACCACCCACCACCACCTCCACCCCCAAATACACCATCACTACCACCGACCACACTACGCGCTAAACCACTCAGGCCTACCAGCTCTACCACCTGCCACCGGTCACCCCACCACACCACCATCACTCTACACTGCCACCGTGCATCCACCCACCTCACCACACCACACCCGGCCACCACCCCAACACCTTACCGCCATCCGCCGTCCACCTGCCACACACCCACCACCCGCACTACCACCACACTACCCCCTCTGCTACCACCGGCACACACTGCCGATGTCACTCCACACTATCACACCATCTGCACACCACAACACCGCTCTGCCACCAATGACGCACCCATGTAACCACTACCCACCTGCCAACCGACCAACCACAACACATCGCTACCACTAACCAACACCACGCTCGCCACATCGTCAAGACGCAACCACGTCCACACACCACCCCATCAACGACCGCACCACCTGCCCCACACCCACTCAGCCCCACCAGCGCACTCACTCGCACCACGGGTACCGTCACCAATCCACCAACCGACCACCAGCTACTCACCACCCACCGTCACTACTTTCCACCACATTCTTCCGCCGCCACTTGCCATTTCTCATTATTTTTTATATTTTTAAATTTTTTAAAACATTTTGTCAATTACCAAACACGTTTATAGTTTATGTTTTTCTAAAAATAAACAAAAAATAAAAAAAACCAGTTTATAAAATTTTTGTAAATATAAACTGAAAACGTAAACGTTACCAAACACACCCTTAGGCTTCGTTTGGCAACCGAACTTTTTAATCAAAAAGTCAAAAAATTATTAAATTAATCAAAAAGTTAATAACTCATACCAAAAAGTCAAAGATTCTATTTTCTCTCTACTTTTTGCACATCTTTTCGTAAAAAGCCAAAAAGTCATCTCAAACATACTAGTTTTTTTTAGCTCATATTTTAGCCAAATAGCCAAAAAGTTACTAAATTA